ATAGATTTTTTACCATTGAAGATGTCCTCCAAACCCTTTCTCTCCAATGCCGTCAATCAATAAACACATAAACTAATTAAAATCCTCTCCTTTTAATAATACACTAAATACTAATTTACAAATGTATGATCTTCACAATCATCGAACACGTCCAAAATCGTAAAGAACAAAGTTCTAAAATACTTCATACAATCCTCTCTTTCACATTCATTCACTAACCTCTCTACATTAGCGAGTTAAAACTTGCATCACAAGGAAGAAAAATTTAACCTAATAGACAAGAGAGAATGACGGAGAAAGAGCTTCTTTACGGTACAATACTTGCTCGTAGCTTTGGCAAAAACGACCAGAAGAGACTTAGTTATGGAGCTTTCATTTCTTCTCTTTTCTTCGTCTTCACTCTTTGCACAGTCTTTAAACCTTATCTCAGCTCTTTCCTAATCGGTAAGTCCCCTTTACTGCGTTTTTCGAAACGCTAGAAATCGCAGAAACAAATCATTACTTAGCTTTTTTCTTTCATAGTGAAGTTGATGCTGGTTTTTAATCAGTTAAATTGTTCTTATAATTAGTGTTTTATTTTTTGGGTGAATTTTCAGATCAAAGTAAAACGGAGGAAACAATGAAACCTATATGTAACAAGCTAGCAAGAAGAGAGTTCTGCGAATTAACCGGCGACGTAAGAATCCACGGTAAATCCGCGACTGTTCTTGTAGCGATCACGTCTGCGTTTTCGGGAAATTCCACGTGGCGTATGAGACCTTACGCGAGAAGAGATGACGTTAGGGCGATGAATCACGTAAGGGAATGGACGGTGAAATTAACACGAAACGTGGAACAATCAGAAAACGCTAGTTTATGGCGTTGCGTTACGAATCACAGCGTTCCCGCGATGCTTTTCTCTCTTGGAGGCTACGCGATGAACAATTTCTCCGACATTTTGATTCCTCTGTACACGACCGCTCGTAGATTCAACGGAGAGGTTCAGTTCCTCGTGACGAACAAGAATCTACTGTGGATCAACAAATTTAAGGAAATCTTGAAGAATCTGTCGAGTTACGAACTGATTTACATGGACGAAGAAGATGAAACTCACTGTTTCACCCGCGTCATGGTCGGTCTCAATCGCGATCCTCAAGAGCTAGCTATCGATCCTTCGAACTCGGAGTATTCCATGTCCGATTTCCGGAGATTCCTAAGAGATACATACTCGTTGAAAAACGTCGTCGTGACAAGGATAGAGCGGAGGAGACCGCGGATTCTTGTTTTGTCTAGACGGAGGTCGCGTGCGTTCGTGAATTCTGGCGAGATCGCGAGATTGGCGAGAGAGATCGGATTCAGAGTGGTGGTGGCTGAAGCGAAGACAGGCGTGGCGAGTTTCGTAGAAACAGTGAACTCATGCGACGTGATGGTCGGCGTGCATGGCGCAGGGTTAACGAACATGGTGTTTTTGCCGGAGAACGCGGTGGTGATTCAGATTGTTCCGATGGGTGGATTTGAGTGGCTGGCGAAGACGGATTATGAGGAACCGTCGAAAGGGATGGATCTGAGGTATTTGGAGTACAAGATCAAGGCGGAGGAGAGCACGCTGGTTAAGCAGTACGGTCGCGATCACGAGATCGTGAGAGATCCGTCCGCGGTTGCGAAACGCGGCTGGAAAACGTTTAAATCGGTTTATTTGGTACAACAGAACGTTAGTATTGATGTAAACCGGTTCAAACCAGTTCTTGTCAAAGCTCTCCATTTATTGCAGCAAGTGTAAAATTAGAGCATCAGCATTCGAGACATTTTGTATGTGTCTTTAAATATAAAATTATTAAACGTTGAGTAAAAGAAAGAAAGATAGTGTTTTTGATTGAAATAATAAGATGTATTGAAATATAAAATTAATAAAATTTGAGTAAAGAGATGAGATAGTAGGTATTATTGGAGAGAGAATGTCTCGGAGAAGACAAAGTTGGAGAGAGAATGGATGAAAATTGGAGTGTGTTTAAATA